GATTGGTCCCTTTGGAGCATGGCAAAACAAGCCTAAACTAGATAGCCGTTTCATTCAGGATGTGAATGTATTGGATGGTACCATGATGTCTCCATGCACCTCATTTACTAAGATTTGGCGGATGCGGAACAATGGTACTTTGGTGTGGGCTCGTGGAACGCAGCTTTTGTGGATTGACGGAGACAGATTTAGTCCTACAGTGAGGGTTGAATTAGAGGTTGTTACTGTTTTATGTTATGTTTGTTTCTTTTTCATTATATTTTTCTTGGGTCTAGATAAGTTATATTTTTGATGGCTTTCATGAGCTTATTATCATCTTCTCATTCTGTGGCAGGTTCCTCCTTGTGGGGTGCCTCCGAATGGAGAACTTAATGTAGCAGTTGATTTTACTGCACCTCAGTTACCAGGTCGATATATTTCTTATTGGAGGATGGCATCACCATTAGGTGTTAAATTTGGACAACGAGTTTGGGTTCTTATAGAGGTTAGACTTGTCTTTAGTATTACTGTCCTCTCCAACCACTTTTATATCGCTAACTAATCAATCTTTATTTTGCTAATGAAGGTCCAGGACCTTGCATCTGACTTTTTGCGTGACACAGTTCCTAACTTCTTGGGTCTGAATTTGAATGCATCGCCTATTAGCCTTATGCCTAATGACTTTGGCGGTATAGACATAACTCTGCAGCCCACTCTGGATGACCTTTCCCGGGAGTGTCACAGAAGCTCAAACAGATACACTCAACCTGCAAAGTCAGCTGATGATGAACAACTAACAGAAGAGGAACTGAACGCCTTCAAGAATTATTGCATGCCAGATGCTTATCCTTTCGGCCCGCAACATGCTCCTTCATCTTCATTTGTATCATACCGAATGCCAGAGTATCCTTTAGCTCCTCAACAGGCCCCTTCATCTTCATCTGTATCTTACAGAATGCCAGAGTATCCTTTAGCTCCTCAACAAGCCCCTTCATCTTCATCTATATCGCACCCCATTAGTGATCTCAAGGAAAAAGCCCTAGCAGAGACTTCCAATCCATCTCCTTCTGTTAAGGGTGTGCCATTATCATTAGATGATGTTGGGAAGAGCCTGTTTAAACAACTTGAGGACAAGTGTTTCAATCCATCTCCTTCTGTTACGGGTGTGCCATTATCGTCAGGTGATGTTGAGAAGAGCCTGCTTAAACAACTCGAGGAGATTTGTTTCAGTCCATCTCCTTCTGTTACGGATGAGCCATTATCATCAGATGATGTTGAGAAGACCCTGCTTAAAGAACTCGAGGAAATGGGTTTCAAGGAGATTGATTTGAACAAGGAGATACTGAGGACCAACGGTTACAACTTGGAGCAGTCTGTTGATGCTCTTTGTGGTGTTTCAGAGTGGGATACGATCCTTGAGGAGCTGCAGGAGATGGTAAGTTGTGTTATGCATGTTAAGTTACGAGCTGGAGTAAAAATGTATATGAGGTTTAAAAGATTCTGAAAATATGGGTTTTGGTGGCAGGGTTTTTGTGATAAAGAAACCAACAAAATGCTGCTGAAGAAGAACAATGGGAGCATCAAAGCCGTGGTCATGGATCTCCTTTCTGGGAAGAAAGCTTAATCAATAGGAGGTTCTTACGGCAGGAAGTTAGATACTCGATATATATAAATAAATAATATAGACATGATATATTGGTTATTTATGTACTCCTAAATGGATATTTTAATATATGCATGGTAACTAAATAAAGTGGGATAATGAACTTAAGCGTGGTTTTACAATGATCTTCAATGGTCCTCTGGAAGGCTCTTGTGGCAGGAGCTTAGGTACTCGTGTGTGTGTATATGTGTATATATATATATATATATATATATGTGTGTGTGTGTGTGTATATTTAAATAAATTATTTTTTTTAAAAAAAAAACATACTTTAAATAATTATAATAATTAATTTGTTATCATGTAAGTTTTATGATTTTGACAGTTGTTAAGTTTTTAATATAATTAACTAAATATAATATTATGTTGTATATATTTGTAAAAAGTTTTTAGAAACTATTATATTATTCTTTGTTGATTTTTGAGAGTTAATTTAATATTGTGCCAGATTGCAGCACAAACAACTGGATCTTTTAATACAGATCACAAAAGAAGGGTGAGAGGAACAAGTATAAATTCATATTGGATTAATTTTGGTCAATATATTATTAGGTTTAAGTTGCACGTACCAGAACATGGTTAAAAAAATTTGATTTTAGTATGATACTTTTTTGTACGTTCAATAAAGAGGGATTTATTTAATACGGTACTAAGTTAAATAATTTATTATTTCTTTTTAAATTGTATAATAATAGTAATATTAGTTCTGATAATAATAAAAAAAATGATAATAATTATCACCGTCGTCGTCACCACTACCATCATAAAAACGGAAAATTTTAAAAACATTACTCGTATATTTTCTTCTGTACCAACATGATCGCATAAAAATATCGTATTAAAATTACATAAAAATTAGATCTTTGTCTGCGTCAAATAAGTTTGTTCTTATTAACCAGTGTTCTTGTCAAAGGCAGGCACCAAAAACCTCTTGAAATTTTTAACTTGGATGGAAGAAGTGGTACTGACTAAAATAGGATCAACCTCTTGAAATTCTTAACACTTTTCTACTTGTTGCTGCAAGTCTTGACACTATAATGGCACTAAAGATAAGCCTGAAACAATAACAATATATCGTCAGGGACAATGAAGTTGAATATATTACATGGGCACTGCAACCAATGAAGAGAGGATGAACTATGCGCGCTTAATATCAAGTGCCCTAAAAGCCAAAACATGGATTATTGGGCTTTCACAATTCAGGTGCATGATACACTGAGTAAAAGAAATTTACATATTTAAGCAGGTAGAATGCAGAACAAAAAGATAAATCGGCTAAAGAAAAAGTATTGCATAACGAAGGAATAGGTAATAAAAGATTTGAAATTTTACTAATTCTGCAGGATACCTCCGTGATGATTCAACTTCTACATGATCTGAAATTTTATGCATCTTCAAACATACAAATATTTTATATTAGAAAATCCTTCATATTCATTTAAAAGAAGGTGTGTTTTGGTTAATTGTGTGTTGGCTTTAAGAGAACAATTTAAAACGTAAAATATCTTAATATGAGATTGAAAAGAAAAAACCTCAGGTGAATCAACTCATAATAATCCTTCTATCCTCTCGGAAATCCTTAGGTGCACGTGTGTGTTACATCTTTTCACAACCTTTAGTAAAAAGAGAGCAGAAATTATATTTCACCCAAGTAAAATTGAAATGGTAGAATGCATACAGAAAGAATCCTTTCTTATTTGATATGAATTAACTCACCAAGTTTTATTTCAGGCAAAAACATTTTTGTCAACATGCAAATAATTGAATGAAAAAATTATAAACTCAATTATGATACGTGAAACTAAAGCATGTTTATGTTTCCCCTCTAATTGTTTACCAGAACAAATCTTTTGGTTGAAAATAAGTTGGCTAAATAGTTTCATATTGAGGTGCAGGTTGGCTTTACACTGAGATGAAGCTTAAAAATTCTCAGACTGAGGGAGAGACCACTAAATGAAATATAAATAAAGAAAATCCAGCTATTTGACAAACAGATCAACCCAGGGAGTAATAGATTTCTCTGGTTTGCAAAGTCCAAAATAGGCAGCAGATAAAAATAGAGTTATTACTTTTATCATCTGAATCGCACAAATGAAAAATTTATATGCATGATACATCACATTCCACTAGTACTGATAGCGTAATCCTTGCTTCTCAAGCTTTATATAAACATTAGCACCAGCTCAATATAGATCAAAGGTCATCTGTTTCCTGTCATCCTCTTCAAGAATATTACAAGCATCAGTATATAGTTGTATTGCATAATCAGGAACAACATCTTCTAGAGCATTAAAAGGAAGGGAAACTTAAGAGAATATTTCCTCTAGTTTTGAAATGGGTGATGATCTTTTGGTTTTCTGTATCTATTCTTTTATGTAAGCTGTGATGCCATGATGATGATGAAAATGGTGAGCAGAATCTTGAAACGGTTAATGAATTCAGTGTGTTTTGTTGATGATAGATCAAGAAGAATTTTGACTGTTTTTGTTCTTGTTCTTGCCATTCACAGCTTACAATTCAGTTGAAGTTATCAAAATAAATATTGCTATTCAAAAGTGGTTTTAAAATGTCAAAAGGTTCTTATGAAATCAAATATTTTTTTAGGGTTAAGGAGAAAGACTGTAACATCTCTAGGCAAGTTTTAGAAGAGAACAATGTCAAGTCAGAATTACAAGAATTTCGTTTTTTAATACAAAATTCAAAGGCTTAATATAAAACAACATAATACTTAAAAAATTAATTAACTAAAGTTAAATAATTAATTTTTTTTTTTAAGAGGATCAGAAATTACTAAAACAAAAAGACTTAAAGACTATCTGCACTCAGATGGATGCTGCCAATATCTTAGCATAGTTTATGAGATTTGTTGCAGACAAAGACTTGAATAAACTTATTGATATCCCTCATAAGCTGATATCTCTAGTATTATTACACAACATAATATATAGTTACTTTTGTGTTAGGTATAAACCGAATCTCCAAACTAGAGTTCGAAAAGTATCACATGATTATAAGATTCACTTGTTAGATAATTGTCTTTTACTCACTTAAAACTTTTTTTCTTAAAAAAATGAAAGTAAATATTTCCTGATTTTCTCATCATCCTTAACTTGGGCTTCTCATCATCTCTCCAACATTATGTCATTTCCAATGTAAATACCTTCTAAACTGTACTAGATTTATTAAGGTCAATCTCTCATCTCTAATGCAACTGCATAACATATAAAAATTTCCTTTCCCACCATGCCTGACTACAGAATTCTACAGTGCATGATGTTTCTTTTATTTATTTTTGTACACTGGGTACCCTGCAGAAAAACAAGCTCTCTCCTCCACTCATTTCAAGTGCCTCTCAAACTTTGATGACTGACTCCTTAGCCTGCACCATGGATCAGAGTCTTCTATAGAATTTAAACTTGTGGTGCATATAGAATTCTTGTTTGCTCTTGCAATTACATCAAACTAGTATTCCAAAAAAGATTGCAGAAGTGAGACCCTTTTAACAATTTTCAGATTTATAATGACCACACCTGTTAATGTTTTCTGATGAGTTACATTTGATTTTAGCATCTGATATATTATATTTGTAAACCCTCGAAATTCTCTGCTCATGGCTTTCCTTCAATGTTGAAATCTCATCACATGAATATGCTTTGCCAATCTCCAAGTTTGAACAATCCCTCCTACTTGAATGCCTATAGGCGTCCAACTCAATTGCTTTCCCTTGATCAACTAAATCTTTCTCACCTTCATTCAAGTGCCTTGAGTGTTTCCTTTTAAGAGGACTATTTTTATGAGGCCAATACCTAGAATAATCATGATCAAGTGATTCTAAAACCTTGCCATGGTGCCATGAGATTCTTTTTTTATGCTGATGATGTCTTTTTCTATTGATGTCTCTATCTGACCACTCATAAGTTTTATGCTAATGATATCTTGTCTTGAGCTCCTCCACTTACTGTCATGGTGTTTTTCTACTCTTTTCTTGCTCATATTATCTCTGTCTCAATCATAAGGTTTGTTATCCCTATTTCCATCATCTGACAATTCCCTTTCTCTCTGGTGGCTTTGACTATCTGAATCCATGTCTGACCAAAAGTCATCAGAATCATCTCTATGGATTGTTTACTTCTTGCCACCATAATTTGTATAGTCAGACCCTTATCAATTGAGTTTCTAAAATACAATATGTAAAGGATCAAGATCGGATTTAAATCCATTAAACTTCAAATTCCAATCTATGACATGATATCATTAGAATTAAGATTCTTTTTTCCTTAATCAATAATGATACATCTTTTTCTTTTAAAAATAAAATTTCTTCGTCCACTTATCGATAATATCATTAAAAAAATATAAATTTTTTTAATATATAAAAATATTTTTTATTTATAAAAATATGTATTTAGTAGAGAATATCAAATAATCGTTTTTCTTATGATTTATCCTATGAACAATACATTCCCAAATATGTTGTTAAGTACTAAAAAAAATAAATAAATAATAAAAATAAAAGTGAATTTTGATGATACACAAAAAGACTATCAAAAATAAAAATAAAATTTAAAGAAAACGCTGGAGTTTATAATAATTCCTATACAAACCCCTACCCAAAAAGGGTTTATTTTAATTATATTAATATAAATAATTAAAATTTATTATTTGAACAAATAAATATTGTGAGATTTAATATTTATGATTTTTCTTTCAAATAATAAAATTTAGAATGAAATATTAAAAAAAAATAGCAAATCGGGTAATCCCCTATGATATATAAAACATATTTTCCACAAAAAAAATTTTTAAGAAAAAATATTTTCCTATTTATTTTGATAACTTGAACTAAATTTCTTATATGCTGTCAAGAACAAGAACAAGAATAAGAACGGTCAAATTTCTTCTTGCTCTATTAATTGACAAACAAAAAACAATAATTCAATCAGGAAAATACACTGAATTTTATTACCCATTTCAAGAATCTCTTCATCTTTGTCATCACCACCATGTCATCACCCCATTACACGACAAAACAGACTCATCAAACCAAAAGATCGTTACCCATTTTAAAACTACAGAAAACTCCCTGCACAAGCAATCGAAGCCGAACGTCCGACCACCCGAATCG